TACGAGTGATGATGGAATTCCAGCTCCGTCGTGGTAGAACAAAAGACCGCACAAACGGCTCACAACATTAATAACATAGACCGAGTGAACAGTACAATCTAAGGCACAAATCGTTTTTGGTTTGAATGTTTCCGAAAAAGATTTTTGATCTAAAAAATTAATCCCGTGATTGTCCAATAACTAAGTGGCGCATATAGTGGAAGCCGTCGATAATTAATCAATCTATCGCTGAGCTAGTAGCAGCTTTCATTGCTAGCATCAAAATAATATTGGTAGGTACCTACTAGAGCGACGAACGCTCTGTTAGAACTAAATTAGAATTACCCCCTTATTTCAAATGTATTTATGTATATGATTAATTACATTAAGTGTTACCGCGTATTCGATATCAAATAACACAAATATATAAAAAATATTTTTACAGAGAATGAGTACCGGTAAAATGGGGCGATTAGGGATTGAAAGGCGAATCGGGAAAAAAACGGGAAAATCTTTCGACGCTCAATATAAGTTTTATATTCGTTGCAAAATCTTCCATTTTTTGTAGTTTAATAGTAGAATGTTGAAAGTTCACAAAACAACTCTGAATATGCATGATAATAGCTGCTAACTTATAAAAAATCGCGTTTCAAATTAACTTCCTGTGGTGGTAATTATTTTAGTGCTAGAAACTTTGCTCTCTTTTATTTATTTGATAATAATAGAAGACGACTATGATTTATAAACGTTATTTAGTGTTTGAACCAGCATATATATTAAAGGTAAGTCTCAGTTGTTATTGGTTTTAATGTATTTGATTAAATAAAAATACATGTAAAAATCTGTTGTTTTTGGGGATATTGGGGACGTCTTAGGTACAAATAACAACGAAAAAGGGGTCAATTGGGATGAGAATACGTGAAATGGAAACGACCTAAGTATAAATAGGTACAGGTTTGTAGGGTTGTCTATGTAGTTATAACAATATTTTTTAAATTTGTTGGTAAAAATCTGGTTTATTCGAAGCGAAATTGGGAATAAGTCTTTAGTTGAAATAGATAAGCAATTTAATATAAGTAAGTCGATTTTGCAGAGACATGTAACAAGATCAATGAAATCTCAAGGTGGACAAAAATGTCTAAGTAATACATAATAAAATATTTAATATTTGTTCAGAGTGGGGGTATTCATCTGATTAATCCATGGAATAACCGACACACCTAATCTCTTAACCCAGATAGAAATATCAGCACTGTCGATTGCACCTATAATTGAGGTGATGTCTGCCATGTACTTTTGTCAGTTTTTCAATTTTTTTTATTGATGATCACTTTGTTGGTGCAACTAAATAAATAAATAAATTAAAACTATATATAAAAATAAAAGTAGTGCCAACCCTAGCAAATTTCTCATTTCGTCCCAATTAACCGCAATTTTCGGGTAAATAGGGATTACACCTATTTTTGCATTTTTTGCTTAAACTGGAATGCTAGTTGCATAATTTTAAATTAGACAACAAAGATGCCCCCAAGACTCAATCATTTTGATCCTGATATAGCATTATATACATCAACAACTACCTTAAAATTGCTCATAAAGTTGGAATTTGTCCCGAATCGCCCCATTTTACGGTATATCAGAGGAAGTGTGAAAGTGGCCCCGGTAAACAACAAATTAAGGAGCGGACGGTTAGCGTGGTTTGGACATGTGATGCGTAGAGAGAAGATGCATGTGACTAGGAGATGTATGGAAATGGTAGTGCAAGGTAGAGGGGGAAGAGGTCGACCGAAGAAGACATGGATGGAGTGTGTGAATGACGATATGAGAGAGAGAGAGGAGTGAGTGTTGAGATGACGGCTGATAGAAGAGAATGGAAGAGAAAAATTAGCGGTGCCGACCCCACCTAGTGGGATAAGGTGGAGAAAAAGAAGATTTTTACATATAATCAAGTCTGAAATTTAGCACGATTTACTATATTAAATTTTACATTGTATCCGTTACAAAAAAATATATTAATATAACATGTATGTACCTATTATATTTATTTATTAGAAGTAATCAAGCCGAATTCTGATTAAAAAAAATATATTAAAACACGTTTGTTTGAGAAAAAAATGATTTACTGTGTGCACAGGAATATTTCCTTTATAGCGCTACCTAACCCGAAAGACACAAAATTCAAACATTTCAAAACTTATTATTAGAGTTTCAACGCGGTTTCCTGATTTAAAATTTATTGGGAATAATTAATATAATATTTTTTAATTTACAGTGAATACTTTTTACAATTTTTTGTATGAAATAAATTTGCACACTGACGTTTTAAGATTTAAATTTTCTCTGATTTTATATTTATTATTAACAACCTCAAAATTAAGATTAAAATTTTTCAATATCGAGTAAGTAAAGATGGTGAACAAACTTAATTTCAAATCACGATCAGACAGCGCTTTAACATACCGCACTTTTTTTCAATAACAGTAGGTATAATAGATCGCCTATGTGAAACGTTTTAGTCTAGATAAGGAGATAGCGGTTTGAAAATACAAATGCTAGATTTATTTAGTTCTTGCCGCGATAGTGTGCTAGGAAGCTCGGAACTCTGTGTATGATAATCACTGCCAGGAATGGTCTGTTAGCTACAAAATGGCGTATAAACGGCGCACCTCCAACCGATCCGATGTAACATACGACCATAGCTGCAAAAATAAGGAAACCGGGTATTAGACTATAAATATTCATTAGAAAACACTATATCGAGGGGCGAAAAGCTATTTAGTTTAAGCACTTTAAGCGACTTAATCTTTGCAGGTAATCCGTTTAATCTGGTACCGTTTCTAACTGAACTTCAATTAAGTTTACCCCATTCAAACAGCTGAAGAATTTGTTTTTGTTACGATATTTTTTCCAAACTTTAAAAAGTGGCTCTCCTATACAGTTGCAAAAATGTCCCTTGAATCAAATAACCTTTCACCCTTCGATATGAAATTTTCGGCAAAATTTATATTTACGTAAATATTGCCCAAAAATTAGGTACGATGTTTGGTATATTTGGTTAGTTCTCGGCATCGGCGTCGCTCGCTATCCATGTGGTTATGGTGCGGTATAGGTATCTCAACGGATTAATAAGTATTGTCCAGGAAGTTGAAAATAAAAAGTTGGAATAGTAATTTTTTATTTTTATTTTTTTATTGCATAGATGGGTGGACAAGCTCACAGCCCACCTGGTGTTAAGTGGTTACTGGAGCCCATAGACATCCACGACGTAAATGCGCCACCCACCTTGAAATATAAGTTCTAAGGTCTCAGTATAGTTACAACGGCTGCCCCACCCTTCAAATATTTTCAATTATTCAAATATTAAATATTGTACTGGTGAACATAGGCATTACGACTTGCGTAATAGATATGCTGTTTATAAAAAAGGTTGCGTAGTTTAATTGTCATTTTCGGATCCATCAGATCCAATAACCCTTTTGTTAGACGCCTTTAACTCTAACACTAGGAGCAGGCTTAGGGACCCCTGTAACCGTACTCGTGGAACTCGGCAAAGAGTTCAACGTGTAACCCTAACATAAACATCAGCCCACTGAACTTTTTGCCGGATCTTCTCAGCGAGTCGCAATTCCGATCCGGCAGTAGATTCATCCATGAAATTTAAAAACACTGTGGAATAGTTGACAACGCCGTCCTGGTTTAAAACTGTGTTAAATGATTTGTAAATGAGTTGTAAAAAAACTCTCCTGGTTCTTCTGCTGGTCATATTGGATCATCGACATTCGACATCTTTGTTTTTGGCCGCCAATTTTGCTCGTTCACTCTGCCTTAGGCGGACATAGAACAACAGTTCAGTGTGCTTAGTGCAACGAGATTAAATTAAAGTACGTAGTACATAATATCTCGACGGCTTAGTGCGAGTTTTTTATCTTCTCGATCGCGTAAAAGTTAACTCAACTTTGTACGAAGTTAGAACAGCGCGCCTACGTTTGCCCCGAGAAGTAAAAATACTCGCAATAAACACACTGAACTGTTGTTCTATGTCCGCAAAAACACGCTAAATATGCTCTTCTTTTGAATCGATAAAGTGACAAAAATCCGTGGGTAATGCAATCCGGTCGGGATTTCAACTACGACCTCACTATTTCCAATATCTAATAACTGCTTCGAAAACGTAATCGCAGTTTGATCTTATTGCAAAAACACGTGCATGTTAGTTGTTAATTGGAGTATCTTTAAATTTTGCGACGAATGCCTTTAGTTCGTCAGCAACAGTCGATCGGGGAATGATTGGAAGAGTTGGACGAAAATCACCTGAGAACAGAATAGGCTCCGCCAAAATTACTAGTCTGGCTGTAACTACTGTTGCATAAAATCTTTTATTTTTTTCAACTTTTTAATTATTTTGAATTTGGAATACGTATATTATTATAAAAACTTCTTTTGATATTGTGCCATTTCACATATTTTTTCGTGTTCATTATCTAATTACAAGGAATGGGGTGTTAAAGAAAATAGGATCTTGCACAAAGTGGGTATGGAGCAGTCGGTCATATTCTAGACACTTCAAAAGCTTGGTATCACACCAAATAAACCAATCTATTTGATGGTACAAAAGAATTGTTACACAGTCAGAATAGTTTAGGTATGAAATGAAAAGGCCAGGTGCAAGTTCTTCATTTCTACAAGCCATGTAGTAACTAACCATTAATTTTTATGAGTTCTAAACTATAGAAAAAAATCAGACTTAACAAAGTTAACCCTGAGAAAAGCATGGCTATGCTGTCAAACATTTCAATAAAATTTTATTTGCAAAATAAAGATTTAAATAAATTTTAACTAAGTAAAATTATTTTATATTGTTAAATAATCCAATATATTTCAATTAAGTTTTTTTCTTCGGGATAACATGTGTACCAATCTACATCTATAAATCTGTGTAAAATCAAAGTAATCTAGTGGAAATCCCAAATAAAATTCAAGAATAATGTACATGTAAATATATTTCTCATATTAACAGTTTCACGTTCAATTAATTTCAACTAAACATCTTTAATTTTTCCTTTAATAATAGTTATTAAGCAAAAATTTACTTTTATAATATACAAAATAGAAGAAAAGATTGCAACAGATATCAGTGACATTTAAACCAACATATATTAGGTTCTTGCTTCACACTAATTACAACACATTTGTCCTCTGCACTAGAGTTGGTTGGTGTCTTGATAAATGGAAAAGATGGGTTTGGCTCGTAGGTAATATGTAAATAAACTTGCATTTCATTTCAATTCGTTAAGTGAGAGCATTCGATTTTATTTTGCTTGTTACATTGGGTATAAATAAATAACTGGGTACGTATCACACACGCACAATACTAACACAGAATCAAAACACCAGGGATGTAATACAAATACTTTTTGGTATTCCTTTCGTTGTTAATGTGTGCACTAAATTTATTCATCATTTTTCCCACGGTATATGGCATAGAAGTGAGAGATTCCATGGGCGTAGATTGCCGCTACGAATGGCCGATCAGCATCGAAGGAAGGTACTGGTGGCTCGTCAATAAATGCAGTGCAAAATGCAATGCCCATTGCTGCAAAAAAACAAGAGATGCCGTGCGTTTTTTAACTTAACACACTTTACGCGCGAACTTATATCACAAGAAAACAGATTGTATAATATGCAAGTTATAGTCCAAGCTCCCATTCTCAACACATTAGTTATTTTCTCAGTGGTAAAGTTAAAGGGATAAAGTAGTGTTAGTATGGACGAGGGGTCGGAGGAGGGCGTTCGTTCCTAAAACGCCCTTGGGCCCGCGGTCTGCTCCCAAAATGCAGATCGTCAAGTCCCACATATCCCGCGCTAGTTGCAGGGAGCTTGAAGAAGGTTCGGCCCTGGGCCGGAAAAAAATAATAATGTTAGGTTAGTATGGACTTTTGGGTATATGCATATCTGCTAGCTTGACATCTTATATTATGGCCTCGACTTATCGTTTTTAATAAAGAAGTAGTGTCTGATATTGATGATAATCTAAGGTACCCTGACCATGAGAAACATTACACTGAAATTATCTACCATATCTGTAATTTTGATGCTCAAGCTAATTTTATTATTCAATGTTCTGATATCGATATTGCAGCAATTAAGCCGGGTACTATGTTTCATTTAAAAGAATTATTTTTACCTGCTTTTAGCACCTAATTGATAAATGGCTGCCGGGCAAGCTAGCAGGTATGGATACTAACATTACCTACTTTATTAGTGAGAAAATAAGTAATGTCTGTCCTTGTCCTGTCCTGTCTGTCATTAATGGGGCCCGGGCCCCGGGATCTTTCCACTTTCACATAAAAATTTTGGAATCAATGTTGACATTAATTTATGTTGTTGTTTACAGTCTATTGGACAACCAAAGGGAGCGTAGTCCATACAGCCAAAAAAATTGTAATAAACCTATCCTACAATAAAACGTAATTACTGTAACAGTAACGTTTAAATGAAACATTAACCTGGATGCGAAAATTAAACTGCGCCATAGATACAGCGTGGTGCACTGTAGGGCATGAAGGTTTTTAAGCGGGATTTGTAAATGAAAAAGGCAATTAATTTAGGCGGTTGATCTTTAAGATCTTCAGCATAATGTGGACGGAATCAAGCAAGCTCATTGCAAGCAACACATTGCAAATTGTCTTACATTTTTCAACAACGTAGAATTGTGACTAAACGCAATTCCCAAAAGTATTATATATTGATATTTAACACGCCCAGCCCGTGTAATATTTTGAATCCGATAGATAAGTTTAATTATTTATGATATGATGCATGATTTTATTTACTATACGGGATAAAACAGACTTGTCAGTTCTTAGATAAATCAATAAATTCATCATTTACATGTCTACCCCGCCTAAAATGCCACAATCAAAGATTTTACAGCATTCAAATAGGTATCCAATAAGTTTCCGATGCGCTTGGAGGTGAATGACCGCTATCTTTAATGTACAGTTTTACTTAATTATGACCGTGCTGTTAGCGAAGCATACCGTAGCCAATCCGGACATGTTCATGTTATAAGTTATAACCTGTGAGTGTATAGCAGTTTTAAATCAATAGTATAGTGAGTTGATTTATGTTAAATTATTTTGATTTGACTTTTTGTTAATAATAAAATAAATGCTAGAAAAAAAAAAAAAAGTGTGTGTGTCCGCTCCGACGCACGACTGGAGTTTACTGGATATAAAAAATTAAACGAAACAATACGAGAAATAGTTCTATATTACGACAACACGATACACTACAGATTATTAACAAATTAACGAGACACAAAACAAACGACTAACAAATATATGAAAATACAATAATGAGAGAAACGCGCGATCAGTACGAGGCTTTGTGGCGGACTGCCGGCGCAGCAGCCCGGCGTCACCTGCGATAACGCGGCCGCGCGTTGGCTCCTGATTGGCGCGCGCACGCATCACGCAATCAGGAGCCAATCAGGCGCATAACGCATTTCGTGTGACATGCTAGTACGATTTTGGTCCCCATAATTTTCATACCCCGGGCCTATATATGTAAATCGATTCTAAAGGAGTAAACTCCAAAAAATAGTATAGATATTTTGTATGAAATATATATATAGCTATTTCAAATAATATATCATTATTTATTAATCTTTCTCGCGGCATATGGTTAAGAAATGAGGAGTGCAGTGTGTGGAGACAGTGGCTGCTAAAGGTCGATCAGCCTTAAAAGAAGGGTCTAGTGGCACTTACTCGTCGAAGGCACAAATGGTGATATCAATTGCTGCAATAAAAACAACGGACCAAATTCAACAATTTCAAAATTTTATTAAATATCATTTACACACAAAGCATAGTTTAAGAGGTTCAGTGTTCTGTATTATCATTTATTTTACATTTATGTGAATATACGAACCTTATTGATTGCGACAGATTGTAGAATAGAATCCATGTGTACCAATTTTTTCTTTATATCAATCATTAGTAAAATAATATTTTGAAAATAATTACTACAATAAGTATGAGGAAACTAGAACAGAGAATCAGAGCGAAATTAGGTTTATATCGCTATAGAAAAGCAAATGACGAACGTAAAAACAGGATTCAATTTCGTCCACGGTATTGGCCGATGAACAGAGCGATGCGTTCAGCGCCCACGAGGAAGTAGAGGAAGGGTCGGTCGGCATGGAAGCTCGGCGAAGGCGGGCGGGCGCACCGCATCATCATCACCATGCCTGCGCGTACAGACATCGCTATAGGTCATCACGCAACGGCCTCGGGACGGCATCGTTCCGACGAGGCGGGCCGCGATGCAGGGCGGCCAGCACCGCGCATCCCTGCACTCTCACGATCCACAGCGTCGCCCGGTCAGCGCGGAACACGCGCGACTTCCGCAACGAGCGAGTATGCCGCACCACAGCCGCTGCCGACACACGTGTCCCGCACACACTCAACATAATACTATGGCGACGAATCCTCGACGCGAATGTGATAAGCACGACTTTAACGATATTAGTTTTCAGTGAATGTAAATAGATGATATTCCTAACAGCAAGTATAGAAATCGGGGAAATTTTGGTTATTAATCAAATTCTTAATGGTATTTTCCAAGAGCGATATTAGTGCATTAAGGGGTGTGATAGCGTAGGTCTTGTCTGAAATATATCGTAATTACGTACGGTCAAAAAATGAACAAGAAATACATTGACAACATTTAGCTCAACTTTTTTTGTTAGTGTTATTAATTGGCAACAGTGACGTTATTAGCTTTATTTTAGGATGGAAGAATAGCTGATGGCCTCGAGAACTTTCCAGCTTGGTTATTAGATAAAGGCGTGTACAAATTCAAGACGCGCGAGGCATCCGTCCGCCATAGATTGAATTAGTGGTTGTCTTATATATACCACAAATAGTGAACTATAAAAGGTCTATAAAAATCATATAACATGTGCACATTAGTTTATTATTGCTACTCTCTCTTTCGCGCCAAAAAAATATTATAATAATATGTCAAAATGAGATTTATAAAGTTGATCTTTCATTGTCATAATATATGTAAAATAATTGCTGTCCGTTCTATTACAACTTTATTGGTGTAATAAAGATGGCTTAATACTGTTTAGCATCTGTGAAATTGCATTTATATGGGAAAATGAAAGCGAGTCGCTGGACGTCGTCGTTGTCGTCATGGCCTAAAGGATAAGACGTCCGGTGCATTCGTATGTAGCGATGCACCGGTGTTCGAATCCCGCCGGCGGGTACCAATTTTTATAATGAAATACGCACTTAACAAATGTTCACGATTGACTTCCACGGTGAAGGAATAACATCGTGTAATAAAAATCAAATCCGCAAAATTATAATTTGCGTAATTACTGGTGATAGGACCTCTTGTAAGTCCGCACGGGTAGGTACCACCACTCCGCCTATTTCTGCCGTGAAGCAGTAATGCGTTTCAGTTTGAAGGGTGCCTTTGTAACTATACTGAGACCTTAGAACTTATATCTCAAGGAGGGTGGCGCATTTACTTTTTTTCGGGTTCTTACAATAAGTACACTGAAAAAGTCTCGGTAAGTAATCGGAGAGTATTAAACGGTAGGCAGCAGCTTGGCTCTGCCCCTGACATTGCTGAAGTCCATAAGCGACGGTAACCACTCACCATCAGGTGGACCGTATGCACGTCTGCCTGCAAGGGGAATAAAAAAAAATTCTGAACTTTCCTTTAAAATACTATAAATATTTGACAACCACTTCGCTGTCTTATCATTTGTGTTTAATTAAACTATTTCCATTTCTTTATTTTTTCGATGACAGTTCTAATTTGATAGTCGTAGTGTTGATAATGAAATGAAAAAGATATGATTGGTCAAATGTTATTTTCACTGACGAGACTTGGTTAAATGCAAACCACACTGTATCTAAGAACTAGACTGACGACACCGTCGCTTCCACTAGTTCAGTGCCAATGGGAAAAGGTGAACACCTTACCATATGCCATGCAGGGTCTACGAAGTGATTCGTGTCAGATGCTTTACTGGCCTTTTAACTCCATAAAAACAGTAGAATACCACGAAGAAATAAACGCGGAGATTTACGAAGGATGGTTTAAAGAAATGGTGCAATCTCTGGAAGAACCGTCGATAATTATTATGGGCAACGCTACATATAACTCCAGACAAATTGATAAAATACCGACACAGACCAATAAAAAACAATAGATGGACAGAACTGACTCCAACGTCATTGGATAATACTTTACTATAAGTACAATTAGTAAATATTTTAAAATTGAAAAAAAGCATCCCTAAAAGATATACTATCGACAAAATAGCTGCCGAATGTGGTCATTGGGTTCTTCGACTTCCGCCGTATCATTACCAGTACAATGCTATAGAACTAATATGGGTACAAATCACAGAACACGCCGCTCGAAACATTACCCATCCCCCTTTTACGACAAACAAGATGTTAGATTTATTAAAAAATGCATATGCGGAAGTAGCCGCCGGGAAAAAGTTGTGAGAAGAACCCAAAACATTATAGCGTCGGATTGGGAAATTCATGTGGCATTCGATAA